GTGTGTGTGTGTGTGTGTGTGTGTGTGTGGTTAAAAAGGAAGAAGCTTGGTGTTTCAGTACGCACTCTCATCGTTATCGACCATCGAAACGAGTTTAACCGAGTTGACACGAGTTTAACCGAACTGTTAACCAATGCCGAAGAGTTAGTAGGTTGGTGTGTATATGTATATGTATAAAAAGTCCAAGAGGATAGAACAGATAGAGAGAAAGAGAGAGACCCGGATCCCGATCCCGATCCTCGAGAGTCCTTAGAAAACGAAAACACAACACTAAAACCCCAACGATTGAAAACTTGCAACTACTACCCTTATTGTTGGTCGTCTTACTTCCTCCCCGTGTCTTCGTCGTTTTTTTTATATATCCCCAAACGTTTGTAACACATTTCTTCCATTGTAATTCAAATTACGTTGAAATTTATTTCTAATCGGGGTTGCAGTGAAGAGAAAAAGGAAAAAAAAGAAAAATAGGATTATTTATTACAATTCATTGGGGTTCGTTGTTATTTTTATCTTGGAGAATAATTTTCTACGTAAATTTTTGTTCGTTTGTTCGTTCGTTTGTTCGTTCGTTTGTTTGGTGCTTACGTTTGCAACAATTGGATTATTTTTTCTCCTTCTTAAAAAAATTTTTCCAAACCTTACGATGTTTGTTTGTTACCTAGGGAAGACGAAAGAAAAAAAGAAGATATTTGTCTAAATACGTATTTACATATCTCTTAATACATATGTATGTGTGTACGTGAGTGTGTGTGCGTGATGTGTAAAAGCATAAATCTCTAATAATGCAAGCGTGCTGAACACTTGCCGTGTTACTTAGGTGCGTTCGTTTGAATTCTCATATGTCAAATTTGTTTGTGTTGTAAATTAAAATAAAACTAAAACGTAAGTTTACGTTTACGTAATAGAGGTTTTTAAACAACAATATCGTTGATGTGTTGATCGTCGATAAAGAAACGAAGAAAGATACTTCATTTTCGATGAATTATGACAAGAACTTCTGTTTTAAACGTTAAACGGAAGAAAAAAGGATTTTCTTTAATTTTCGAAGAAAAAAAAGAAGAATAAAAAACCCAGTGGAAAATGTTAAGTGACAATTTTTAGTGATTCAAAATTTTTTAATCGAACGAATTCTTATTAGAAAATAATACGAAAGTTGAATTGGTTTTTTTTTCTTATTTTGTAATTTCGTCCTAAATGTGCGTATTATAATAGATAATAAAAAAAGAGAAAAAAATGAAGCTATTCAGTTAAAAAAATTCTTTTTGTGCGTTATAGGAAATTAATCGTGATGGTGATCGATTGGTATTGGAAGAGAATCTCAATGATGATGCTCTTCTTCAATTTTTTTCTTTCGGAGAACCTGTCTTCTCGATCATTACGAATATAAATGTAAGTTTTTTTTTATTTGCAATTCCTTTTGTTGTATTATGTCTTTGTCTTTCATTGAATTTTTTGTCTTTTTTTTTGGTATGCGTAATATTTTTTTTTAAATCTTCGAACCGAAAAACAAATTTATTAAAAGCCTATAATCGTTATTACGTTAGCACGATAAATACGAAAAATAACAATTGTATTATTACAAATTGGGATTCCTAATTTGTATTTAGATTGGTCAATAAATTCATGAGATATTTTTGCCGTTTGTTTATTTATTCGAAAAAATCAGCACGTGAATTTATTAATTGATCTTATCTTTAATTACAAAAAACAAAAAGAAGCTAAATAATTTATTAAATTTAATTGGAATAAATTAATAAATTTCCCTTGCATATTTTGTTCTCGAACTATTAAAACACGAATTAGTTCATCATTCTTAAGTTAAAGGAATTAAAGTAGATCTTTTTAATATTTAATTACCTTACACTTACACTTAATTAATTACACAACATCACTTTCACATAAATGCGTGAAGTAAGAATTTTTAATTTTTACTCAATTATAAAAATAAAATTAAAAAACCTCAAATATATAGCAGACTAGTCCAATAAATACACGCGGTATTTTTTTCTTTTTTTTTCAATTGTTTAAGTAGAAAATATTAATTTTAATTTTATTTTAATTAAAAATATTCCTTGCGTTATCTTCAAGCAAAATATACTCAGAACTCGTGTTAGCTCATAATACTTGGTTAAAATATTAAAAAGATAAAAAATTGGGGTTTATCATTCTAATATTCCTTTTTTTTATTATATAAACGAACGTATTTACAATTTATTCGTATTATTAAATAAGAAATTGTGTAAGTACCGTGATAGTAGTGAGGGGGTTAGAAATATCGTTTTTCAATACGTTACTAGTTTACCTTCAAGTATTATAAACGCCTACACTATTTTTTCGCTCCTTTGAATGCGTGTGTTTCCCTTACGACGTCGAATAACGCAGCAGCACGTGTGCGCAGCAACAGTTTCCCTTTGTTCTTCATTTTTTCTTTTCTTTTCTCTTTCATATTCTATTTTTCTCCATTTTTCCTTCGACATTTTTTCGAAAGTAACTATAATCAATCTACTCTAGGGGAAAATAGAAAAAAAGATTCGTACACAATTGATTTAGGCAATATTAAAAAATATTAAAGTAAATAAAACGAAAATGAATAGAGAAGGGGTAGTGAGGTAAAAAAAAAAGGTTGTAAAATATTATGGAGTTGCACGGAAAAAACTTAACGATCGGTTCGAAGTAATAAAATAAAAAAAGCTTGATAAAAATCTAAATCGAAGAAAGAAAAACCGGGATAGAAAATATTTCAGATGATTTTTCCCGAGAAAATTTCTAAGGGTCGTAATGATATCTTTTTAACGTAAATAGGATTTCCCCCAATTTTTCCGTTTAAATCGGTTATAAAAATAACTTTCCGAGTAATTAGCTCGTACGAAAAATTTTATAACTGATTTATATAGGAAAAGGATCATGTATTCGCGTTAAAAATAAATAAAAAAAATATCAATCTACTCGAATTTTTCCAGAGAGACTCAATCTTATGCAATATCCTTCCTCCTGCTCCTACCCCCTGCCACCAAAATAGAAAAAAAACAACACAACTTGTATTCGAACTATGATAAAAATATAAATAAAATATAATTATTCGCAAATCCTAATAAAAAAAAAATCGAATCAATCCAAATGAATTATTAATTTCGTCTTATTTCATCTAACCGAATATCCAATTATCGATGAAAAATATACGTAAATAGTAAAAAAAAATATAATACGATATGCAGTATTATTGTTATAAAAATTATTTAATAATTTTTTTTTTATTTATTTAAACGTTTGTTTTTGGCGAAATCATAGTTATCTGATTTCCTACTTTGAGTTTTTTTTTCTTTTTATTTTTCCCTTTCCTCCTCCCCCTTCCCTTTTCTATTTCTCTTAACATCCCCCCTAACCCTCTTTCAATCGTCCATGAATTAATTATTCTTTGTTTGAAATTATATTCGCTCTATTACCGCAATTAATTGCCGATCGAGCGTACCTTACAAAGATACTAACACACAACAAACACGCGCGTGCCCATGTATAATAATAGATCCTTATACACAGGTCACGTTCCTGCTTTACGAATCTCGTTGCATATTATTAATGGTTATTGATCATGGGAAACTCTTCCCCCCACTGCCAGCCCCATTGATTATCCTCATTACGAATGTCAATTATATTTTTTTTTCTTTCCTAGCAACATTTTGTAACATATTAGAGTGAACCAAAAGTTTGTGTATTTTTTTCTTTCTAATTATTATTATCAATATTTCTCATTCGCATAAAAAAGGTAATTTTATTTATTGTTTTTCGAAAACAATTGCACAATGATTAAATTAACGCAATAATAAATCCGTGAAGCTTTAGGTTTATCCTTAATTTTTTACTAAAATAAAAATATTATTTCGGAAATTATAGAAATGGCCAGAAAATCACATATGAAATGTTCATTTTTTGTATTCGATTTTTAAAAAGAACAAATTTCTCAATGAAATAATAATAATAATAATAATAATAATAATAATAATCCTAATGAATAATATCATTAAAGAAAAAATTCGTTTAAATAACGTAAAAAGATTTCCTCATTCGTCATAGTTAAAAAAAAAAGATAAAGAACAAAATTGAAATGCAAAACCGTTTGGTTCATTCGCGATAACTGTAAAGAAAGAAAACAAGGGGAAAGGAAAAAAAAGAAAAAAAAGCGGAAAGAAACGAATAATAAATTTGTATTATAATAAAGCAGGTTTTTACTAACGTAAGTCAAAGAGAGAGAGAGAGACTCGCCGATTTTTTTTCTTTTTTTTTGTTTTATTACGATGCACAATCACCAACCCGATCGCGCTTATGTCATCCAAAACGTCATCGAGCTCCTCTTGGCATAAACTATTTTCCACAAGGTCCTGCAATAATCCTTACTATGTGCATTTTAAACAAACCTAACTTCCATTCTTTTGATAATTTTTCTTTTTATTCCTCACTCCTCCTCCTACTTATTCTTCTTCTTCGTCACCTTCTTCTTATCTCATATATTCTCTTTTTTTTCGTTTATATAAACGCGCACGTGCGTATAACGATAGACGCAAAAAAATGTGTTTAGAGACAGAAATAAAAGAATGGAAAAAAAAAAATATATATATAAGGCAAGAAAAGAAGAAAAAGAAAAAATGGCAAATAAAAAAAAGAAAAACTAAAGCAAAATCTTATAATAGCGTACAGACAATGAGATTCAGAGATAAATAATTTGAAATCAATAACAAAATCCGCGTAAAAGTAGGCGTGTGCTTGCGTGTGTAGAATACTCGTTAGGATCTAGTTTCATTTAAAACGGGTTTTATATTAGAACGCATATTAGAATTATGTAAATCCTGACTAATTGGCAAGACGATTGAGTATTACGCTAGTCATCTGTTACTTTTTGCACGACCTCTTACGTCGGTGGAGGAAGAAGGGGCGGAGGAGGGGGTGAGAAAAAACGGGGGAGTAAAAGGAGGTGTGTTCACGCTACTGACAGATCTCGTTACTCATTTACGATTTCTATGTATCGGGAATTTGCGTTCAACGATAGGCTAGCATCGATGATAACGATCAACCAATAGATTTACACCTAACATTATTTCAAGGCCATAGGTAAATAACGTTTAAATACAATTAACAATTCTTTCATAGCAAGTTCTTGTTCAAGGTGGTTGTTTTTGTCTTATTTTTTATATTTTTTACTTTTCAAAAGACAATTGACATCGATAATATCGATCGATAAATCGATCGATTTTTATCATCATTTTTTTTTTATTTTACTTTTATTTATTTTTTTATTATCCGATCATAATTTTCCTTCTTGCAATTAGCCGTCTGGCTTGCTTTTCAATAACATTCTTTTGTTTTTTTTCCTTTTTTTTGCATCAACTGACTGACTAATTGGTCGGATTTATTTTTTTTTCTTTCACAACTGAGATAGTTTAAATAAGAAAAAAAATTGTCAGATATATTTTATCGAAATGAATATTAATTAGATCGGACGTTGGAAACTTTATTATGCTGTATGAATCTATGTTCGATATTTTATTTAAAAGAATATTTAATTCTTGAATTCTCTTGATAGAAATTGATTTTATAATAAAAGCTTTTCTCGCGTCGCATTCACGATTGCTCCGCTTTTTTTTCAATCAGCATTCAAGGACGACGTAACTTTTTTGTTCTTGCAAGAAACCAGAACGAATGCTATACATTCAAATATAAATGTTAACAAGACGAAACAAATCTAACGGATTTTAATCCAATCGATGATACGAAAGTTTTTTTTTTAACGATCCACAATATTTTTATTCTAATCAAAATTCAAACGAAGTTGTTTTTGTCGAGTAATATTTCTGTAAGACAATGTGTGTTTGATCTAATAATTAATTATCTACTTAACGTGCCACCTCTGATTGATGATGTTTCAACAGGAAAAATTCCAGTGGAATGTGGTATAATTATTTAATGAAAATAATTATATTCTTATATGTTAGGTGGATTAAAAAATCTTGAGCTTTACATAAGAAAAAAGAAAGAAACAAAACTTTTATTTTCAAAATAAAAAACGTAAAAACAATATTTATATATTTTGTTTCTTTCTTATGTTAGACTCAAAGGATCAAAACTTGTCAACCCACTTTTGTATATTATTTTTACATAAAATTTAATAATAAGAAAAAAGAAAAGAATAATTCGATAATCAAGCTTTCAGTTTCACGAACAAATTCGCGATAACGATGGTAATAATATGATGATTAAAAATTAATATTAATTGTTTCGTTTAAGGTAATAATTCGTCGTCGAGGATGAGATAGGAGAGAAGATGACTGGAAAAAATGACGACGTGAGAAAGGAGAAGAAGATTTTTCAAAATACAAAATCTATAATTTAGGAATAGTATTAAGGAGGGGGCGGAGTGGTGGCAGCGCCAGGGTAGGAAAAAAAAGGGTAGGAAAAAGTTAAAGGAAAACAAAAAAAGAAAAAAAATGGGGTCTTTGCCGAATTTGCACGAGTTGTCGAAGGAGAAACTCGAAAGTCCTGTTTACAAAGCAGCTCCAATCGGTGGATTAGGTCCAATAAGATTACCTGCTCAAGCACCACCATTGGCACATACCCATCGTCGTGCTAGAAGCAGCGGAAATCATCATACCACTACTTTGTGGGACAACGACGCCATGTTGGAGGTTTGTTAAATATCATTAATTTGTAACAAAATTATAATCCAACGATTCCCTCCCCCTCCATCATATTTGACAATTTTTAACTTATAATTTTCTCGATTGACTATACTAAAACGAGATCCTTAAATGGGGGAAAAGAGGGAGATCAAATTGCATACAATTTTCAAAAACTTGAAATCGTTCGATTATTCACTTCTATTATTTAAATGAATATATGATAAAATTTGAAAAAAATATTTCTTAAACAAATCATTAATTAATTTTGGAAAGGGAAGAAAATTGTTGAATAGTTTATTGGAATATTAAAATATTTTTTATTGACATAGAATTCAATTCAATTTATACCAATTGCAAAAGAGTTGATAAAAATTATTGGTTTAGCAACTGTGATTGTGAATTGATGACCTTTTAAAATAAGCAATCACTTACAATTAGTTGCCAACCGAATAAATCAAAAACGAAAATTGTTGATAATAAAATAAATAGATTTTTTTTATCCTCGTAGCATATGGCAGCTTATTCACCGATCTCATGTCGTTCGGCAAGAACTTCAGCAGCGTTGTCTTGGAGACGACGAGATTCGATGAATTCTTCGGCAGGTGCTTCATCGGTACGTCGTTTGATAGCTGCAGTTAGAACAGCACCATCCGGACCACGTCCAGCAAAGAAAATAATTTTGAGGCATTGCGCAGCTCTTTTGTTGGGACACGCGACCTGTTCAGCCGCCATTTTACCAATTTTTCCACTCCAAGCTGGTCTCGGAGCATTTAATCGTCACTTAGGTCCAATATTATTGGCGCTATTGAATTTGACCGCAGCCATTACTGCGTGTTTCGCACCAATTATTCTTCAAAAGATTGGTACGAATCTTGCAATCATCGTGAATCATTTGATAACGACAATTTTCGTCGGTGTCCATTTGTATCCAAAGTGGTACGTTTTATTACCGAGCTACGCCATTTTGGGTGCCTGCGTAAGTCCAAGTTTTTTGGCAAGGACCTCGCACGTCAACATATCTGCCAGCAGTTTAGCTTTGGTCTGTGCCGATCCTGAAGATTCGGACGAGACTAGACGAGATTGTTTATTGAGAAGACTCAACAGATACATCAAACTCGCTGAAGATGCTGGTCTTGCGATAGGTAAATACAATTTTTTCATTTATTTCTACCTAGATTATAATTATACATAACCTGTATTTCATATATTATACTTTCTTATGAATTTCCTCCTCCAACGTTTGTTAATCAATTTTATCAAATTGTCTACAATTTTTGTTGTTGTTGATTATATTCAGGTTGTCTGATCGCTGCACTGTTGGTCAAATTTACGGACTCAGTGTTACCTAACATATCTCAAAGCGAGATCGAGGATGTTTGCGGTGCCGAGTATTGTCCCGAGGAGACCTATTTCCACAACGAAAGTCTCTATTTACCAACGATCTCGGATAACACTTCGAAAATGTTGATAAGTATATGGTTCGGTTTTGCCGTATTAGGAATGGGCATATCTTGTGCATTCCTCGATTCGAGGATGAAGGAACCACAAAGTACAAACGACAGAATTAGCTCACGTAACATTTTCAAATCCGTCAAGTGCGCCTTTCAAGATCCAAAGTTGCAATTAGCAGCGCCATTGACATTGTTCATCGGCCTTGAGCAAGGTTTCATTTACGCCGATTTCACCGAAGTAAGTTTGATCAACGAAAACACACACACACAAACAGATATTAAACGTTATCACGAGTTTTGTAATGAAAGAGGGGGAAACAAAAAAAAATAAACCAAAAATTCTGTTTGTTAACAGGCATACGTGGCTTGTGCACTTGGAGGAGCTGGCACCGTAACTGTCAGTTTTCTCAGCTTAGCTGTCCTGCAAGCACTTGCTGGAGCAACCCTTTCCATGTTACTAAGACACATCAAAAGATACTTGGTCGTAGGTAAGTGCTATACTTCCATTTTCCTTTCGTTGATAATTTTTAAACATTCATTGAACAACTATATATCAGGATTATACGTAATACATATTATATAATAACCTAATTGGTTTGAATTTCAAATTTTAGTCGTGGGTTTCGCGTTTCATGCCTGTTTGTTACTCGTTCTGGTCGTTTGGAGACCAGCTGGCGACGATCCAGCACTTTTCCATGTTATATCAGCCGCCTGGGGTGTATGCAACTCCATTTGGGAAACTTTAATATATAGTAAGTTTAATTATATATATATATATTAGGGTGGGTCAAAAAAATCAATTATTTTTTTTTTTACAAGTGCCACGGAAAAATGGGTTGCTAGACACCTTATAAGAATTCTCACCAAATATGAGCTCTTAATTTTAATAGGAAGATCCTCCGCATCGCAGTATTTTATTTTTTTCTCAGTCCAATAGAATAAAATTCATACTTCATCATTAATTGATTGTACAGAAAAATGTTCTAGACGAATTTTGTAAGAAATTTAATGCTCTACAAAAAAGGTATCTTGTACTTTTTCCGTAAACCTCACCATTTGAATGATATTGAAGATTTAAATTTGATGATTTTTAGACAAATTTCATTTTTGTTTATGAATTTTATAATTCGACAATAA